ATTCAGGATAGTTATTACCCTCTTTTATTCTATATTTAAGTCCCATAATCTCCAGACAAAGCCTGAGCCACCATTTTGAATGCCTTTGATTTTCCCCTAGATTATTTCAATGCCCATTGCTCAACTACTGCTCCTACTGCATGAATTCTCAGGGTGTTTAGCCTTTCAATTTTAGGCTGCTTTTATTTTTATTGAAGTATTCTTATTTTTTACTTCAATAGGCATGGAATCATAAATTCCTCTTCCTAAAACAGTGAGCAATAATACTGATGTGTGAGATCTGTCCCCTTATTACCACTCGTTTGAAGACTGCAGATCTCACTGCAGTGTTTTTACAGTCTGTAATGCGAGGGGTTAGCAGCCTCTAAACCAAATTATTTTTCCAACTAGGGTAAATCAATGCCATCAGCTCAATGGATGCTGCTTTCTCACCTCAGCCTCTCCTCATTCAGATCCCTGCTAAAGTTTAAATCTTCCCTGCTGCCTAAAAGCAGTGATTTTAATCATCATTAATCTCCTTCTAAAATACCCTCTGCAAATTATTGGAACATTGCATGTAAAATATGGAATAATGGCACAATCTTATTTCTGTAATCTTTGCCCTTTTTAACTGATTTTGCCCATTCATTACTACTTCTCACTGCATCATGATATCAAACAGAACAAATTTCTGGGGTAGTTTGTTTTGTCATCCAAACTACCGCAATGATGACAACAAGTAATGTTGCCATAACACAAGAAGAACATAACTGAGCATAGAGCTGGACAATAACAGTTTTTTTAAATCTAAAGTCTAAGTTAACTAACTAAAAAATTAACTAGCTACACTGATTGATTTGAGTCAATATGAACCAAAAAGTCTTGTTGTTTTGAAGAAAATAAAAAGTATAAACCCACTAATCAACCAGCCAACCCAGCTATTGAGTAAAATAGAAAGTTTCACTTCAGTTCTGAGTTTAAATCTAGAAACCAAACATGGTCTTTTGAAAAATCCTTGCTTTATTAAAAATTATATTCTGTTTTGTTTTTGTTTTTTTTATTTGGTGGGGCAGAAGGGCAAAATCATTTGAAGTTCATTTTGAAATTCATGTTGAACTGAATCGTTGTTGTTGGTCTTTTTCACCAAAGCAAAGGAGCTGGAGAAAATATTTCACTTCAGTTCTGCTGTGAAGAGGCGAGCTGTCTTAGGCAGATGGTTTCCTACATGCTTTACTGGCCTTTTAAGGCCCAAGTTTGAAACTAAATCTGAAATTTCTCCACAATCTAGAGAACTAGTTTGGTTTCATCACTAGTCAAAAGTCCTATTATGATTGGAATGTATATTTCAGGTATTTTAATTGAAAGGCCATAAAGTAAAAATAAAATATGTTCTAAGGTAGTTAAAATATAATTACACTCATCAGTGATACATTACAATTCCTAGTCCTTTTTATATTATTGTGTTATTGTTCAAAGGAATGTAGAAGGCAAATAAAATCTTACAAGAACTGCTGCAAATAAGCATTTACTAACCCTTGGTCCTTAGAAGGAAAACTGCAGCATAATATACAATAATTTCTAGCCTTTACATCTAATTAAAGTGGAAGAAGAGCATAAATGTAAGATATATCCAAGCACTGAATCCCCACAACTCCTGATCAGGAAAGAAGTGCAGAACACTCAGCACATGCCAGGGCTCAAGGCCAAGTCAAATTTTCAAGAGAAAAAATGTATTAATTAAAAAATAGTTAATAAACAGGAAATTAAAATTAAGATTAAGGTTATAAACTAAGGACCTGATCCTGCAAACATATACGCATACACATACCTTCTACTCCACACTTCAGTAAAGATGACCCATAGCCATTAAGAAAAGCACATGTGTAAGTCATCACAGTATCTGGGTCTGTTTTGATGGGACTTTGAGTTTGAGTGAGTGAGTGAGTGCTGCTCGTTCAATAGGGAAAATTCAGTATAGTAAGCATGATTTCCAGAATCGGATTCTGGCCAAAAAACAAGAATAGGCAGTATAGCAGAACAATGACAGGAATTTCCAAAACACTCTGGAATTAATTTTTAATATATATGAATGTATGTAGTAAATATTTAGTTAAGCCTCTAAGTTAAGACTACAAATCACTTGCAGCTCTCTTTTACATATTCGAACATAAATATACCTCCAGCACAACAATGTTATGCTTGGAACAGTAATACCCATACTTCCTTTCTGGAATAGGAAAGACAGTAATCAAGGTCAAACCAGAGACCTCCAAGTGAAACGAGTTTCTGTCCTTGGACCAACAGTTAATCATTGAATGTACCTTCCTATATGAATTATGCTTCTGCTGCACATTTTCTTCACTCCTGACTTCTGGGTCAGGAGTACGTGGGAAAATGTCAGTTCATTACAAAAGGACAAGAGAAACCAAACTACTTTTTTCCATGAACTCTAGGTGATCCTTTTTTATCTAATACCTTTGTAATGAGACCACAAAATCAATGTGAAATGTTCACATACATCTGCTTGTAGAATTTGGCCTTACAATTTAATGGATGGAATCTTGGTAATCAATGGGAGTTTTATATTTGGCTTTAAAAAAAAATGAGGGATAAGGACCAAAGTAATGGGAAACAATACCTTATACCTGGATAAGATACAGATCAATCGTTAGCAGTCACATGACAAAAGAGCCTCATGGAACTTGACCCCTCTCCTGATTTGCTCAACTTCTGGAGATTCAGATCTCCTATAGCTACCCACTTGGGAGAATGCACTGGACATCCAGCCCAGAATACTTCTGTGCTTGTTTTATCCAACATTGATTGTATTAGTTTGGCAGATTTTAAAATTGGCTACTGCTGTAAAGCATTGGTATCAATAAGATCTTGCAGAATAGGGCCTTTTCCAAAAATGGTTTCAAATGAGAATGTTATAAAGGCAGGTATCATATTGAACAGTTAATTCAGTATTATAGAACTGTGACAGAGTTGTGCTTTATTTCTGTCTGACATCAGAGAAATCAATGCCCTTTGGATTTCATTTTTCCCGTCATCCAAGGTTAATTGATCCTAACAATTTTAACTCAGAAGTTCTAGCTGTGCAAACAAAATGGGAGCTTTCAGTTTATAGCCATCTTAATTTTTCAGAGAAGAAGTAATGCCATGACAAATTCTGACAAATGATTTAACAGTCACCAAATAAAAACTGTGCTCCAATATCATGATTTAATGACAACTGAAATTTAAATATGGGATTGGATTCTTGAATTGTCTTTTGTCAGGAAAAAAAATTACAGATGAGAGCTGAGTGTGTTTGATTTAGCTTTGACGATATAACCCCAGAATTTACTCTAAATGACAAAAAATCAAAAATTAAATTATTGGTATTTTCAGAGAGATCATTCTCCAGAGTTCAAGACACGTATTCCCTATAATTTTCTTCTTACAGTTTGTTAGATAATTCTGCAGCTTTTTATAAGAATTTTTCAGACAGCTTGTGATTTGCTGCTGTATAGTGAAACAAAGACGAAGGAAACAAAGGAAATACGGGAGTATTACATACATGCTTTACTTATATGCAAAAACCTGCCTTGATTAATCAAAAATTTATGAAGTAACAACAATGTCATATATATTGGCAGGGACAGCAATCAACTTGGAAAATGCCTTTTGGATGAAATTTCCTTATAGAACTCATTACTGCTCTCAGAAACCATGCAAAAGGAGCCCTGGGCAAACCAAATAGCTTTCATCGATGATAAAAAAAAAAAAAAAAAATCTTTCCAGAGAAAGTTCTTACGTATTTTAATAATATTTTCTCCATCAACATTAAGAAAACCTAATCCAAAAAAACACTGAAGTTAAGTGGTTGCTGGTTCTATTTATGATGTATATATTACAGAGCATATCTGCAACAAATATGCAACATTTGTAGGAAAAACCTCACACTTTCATGAACAAATTGGCAAATGTCTGTATAAAAACCATGTTGCTGCATGCTAGCTATTGGCTGTGCATTTATAAGATGTAATACATGTACCTGGAAATACTGTGGACCCAGTAAAAATAGGGTAATTGAAAATGTTGTCCTAAGAGAACTGTTAAGTATCAGGAAATTAATTACAGGTATTTTATGGCCAAATATGTATAAACACTGACCATGGGCTAGTCTCTGCACTCATGTCTGCCTTAACCTAGGGATTCAAAAGGCAGTTTCTAGGGATTCAGAAGTAGTTTTATTGTAATACTGATGACATTCCAAATACTTTGGTGGTAAAATAATAAAAGAAGGGGCAAAAATCTCCAGTCCTATCTGCTCTCTTTGGGTAGTTAAGGAGAAAAAAAGGAAGCAGAAGCCACCTACCACGCCCCACAAGCAGCACTAAAAAATATTATTGGGGGGGGTGTCAATGATGACCCTGCCCCTCCCTGCCATAAGGCTTTTCTGGGGTCGGTGCTCACTGGTACTGTGCACGTAGCAGCAGAGGAGCATGTGGCAGTGGTGCTGGAGTTGCTGTTGCTGGCCCAGTTTGGTGGGGGGTCAGCCCTGCCAGCCCCGGGCTTCTGCCACCTATGCCATTCCCACTATTGGACTTTCCTTCAGGCAAGAAAATTCCCAATGAATCTAGGGAGGAGGGAGGGAATTAATTCAGAAAAACAAAAGTCAACCGATGATATGTATATTTTTTCATTAAAAAAAGGTTTTGCTCCCTAATTTTGCCCAGCTCCAATGTACACGTGTGTTCCGGCAAATGCACGCATCATACCTTTTAAGAATCTAGCCTTTATTTGGTGCCTCATGGGCACTCAAAATGACTAGTCGCTTAAAGATTTAAGCAAGAACCTGTTTTTGAAATGAAAGGTCTTCAAAATATATGGCAATTCAGAGCAAATATACCACTTCAGGTCTACCTCTAGTAATTCCAACCTCATAAAAATGATCACATTTTAAAAACTGTGCCACCATTTTGTTTTGAACCACTCAGGTAACTTTGTGGGGGTTGTTTGTTTTTTAATTTCAGATGACCCAAAAAACTGTACATCGTGCATTCACAATTATTACATGTAAGTACAACTTTCTGTTAGCATCTACAATTTCAGAAACAAAACCCATGCTCCATTTGAGAGATTACTGGAAGTTTTGCCATATCCATAGGCTTCATGGCTACTTGTTGAACAAAAATGGATTTCTGGAAGCTTTAAGAAAGGAAAAAATATGGGAGTGTAAGGGTAGCATCACAAAACTTTATAGCCCATGTTAAAGACTAAAATAAAGAATAGCTGATTTAAAGGACATGGTACTTAGTATCTTCAGCTCTCACTAGCTATAAGAGCTGAGGGCAGTTAGCGCCAAATAGACCCATACCAGCAAGAATGTAAACATATAAGCCTGCATACAGAGACCTGGCACTATACCACAAGTAAAAAACAAAGCTGGACAACTTCCAGTATAGACATACACATTACCCAGATCGACTAGAGGCAGTAACCTATCTGCAGATTTCCCCAAATGACCAGCTGTTACCCAACAACTGCAGTAAACAAATACACTAATTGGGAACACAGTTGCATGCTTCAATTGTTTAAAAAACAAACTTTACAAGACTATAGGAGAACCTTAATATTAATAAATCCGACTTGTTGTGGCTTTAGGGTAAACTAAGTAGTCATTTTGTGACTGAGTAGTTCTAATACATTTCCTAAGGAAGTATGCATGTTCATTATGAAGAGAATAGACCTTCCCCAGATTCTTGTGCATACACGGCTGCCATCCCCCTGCCGCTCCTCCCCCCCCCCATATACACACAGAATAACAGAATATGAACTCCAGGTCCTGAAAAAAGATTTATATAAAACTTGCAGGGCATGTTCTCCCAACAGGTATAAGCAGTACTGCTACAGAAACTGCCCGGGGAATACTTATGCTGATGAAAATGCTCAAGAGTGCATGGAATGTCCAAACAACTGTGGCAGCTGTAATGAGCATGAGTGCTTCTGGTGCAACAAAGACTTTTATCTTTCAGGTAAGCACAGTAACACGCACTGTCCATATACAATAGGATCTGGAGGCTTGCCTTGAAGGACAAAATATGGATCCCATCTTCTGAGATGCCCTAGCACCTTCTATTGAAAGGGATGGAAACTGAGGGAACTCAACAACTTTGTAAAATTAGACCCTTTGTGTAAATTCAAGGCATCTTTTGGTTCAAAGGTCTCAAAATGTTCAACTATGAAATCCTACTTTTTTTTTTTAAATGAGCGTTAGCATCCCTACTCACTCTGAGTGCATATAGGAAAATATTTCTATTTTATAGTGCTGTGTGAAACGAGGTGGTTTCAGTTCACAGAAAACCATGCAAACCTTTTTTCACTTTAAAATGCGTTATGTACCTTCTAATTACACTTTGACTTTCAGGTCTAAGTAGAACAACAAGCCCCACCACCCGAGCAAAACTTCAGTTAAAACTACTGAAGTGCACATCAAGTTCACACAAAACCAAGAATTCCTTATTGTTTCATAACAAAACCATCAGTCAGTCAAGGCTGTCAGACAACACTGCCAATGTCTGAGCCCCTAGGTTATAAAATCCTAGTGTAAGATTTACTTCATGCTCCAGTACTAAAAGCTGTGACGTATAAACTGCTTCATGCTCTGTGGTGTTAACTTTAGGCAACTTTTATGCTAGCCTTGGACCAAGTACATTATAAGCTCCTTCTCTTCCTATTTTTAGCAGGGAAAAACCAGCAACTTTTCTCTCGTTTTTGCTAAATGAATTGCCACTTCTTAAATGTCCATTTAGACCACAGGGCAGTTCCTTCCTGTGCAGTTGTGTTATTGGGAAGAAAGTCACAAACTATTTTTTAGTCTTCACCATCCACAGCCATAACTGATCAACTTAGCAAAGGATTTTTCTTCCTTGCTTGTCAGGGTTTTATGCTGCTAACTGTTATTTTGGTACTTTAATATCATCTCACTAGTATCCAAGTGTCTTGCTTCAGGTTTACTCAATACTGGCTTCACGTTTGCTGGAAACTAGAGATTTATTAGAGTCTCAAAACCTTGATCTAGAGTTGAACATGGAATTTTTGGATCTTAGATTTTTGTTGGATTCATCTTTGCTAAAGGGCTGAACTGTGAAATTCAGATCCAAAATTAAAGTTTGTGCAAGACTACAGGAATTTAAAGATTTGGATGGAGCCATCTGTATTTGAAAAGTGTTCAACTCAAAAGTGTTGGGTTGAAAGTTGTGTAAAATTGTCTAAGACTGCACTGAGTTTAGTTTTTGTATTGCTGTCTAAGGAGGGCTTAAGGAGGTTTACAATAAATATTTCACACCCCTTCTACTATTCTGCCTGCTTTTCTAAAATTGCCTCTTTTCTAAGAGAGCTTAGAAGCACGCACCTTCCTCCATCCCAGTCAAACTGCACAAGGTTTCATGTCAGAGTTGTGATGTTTCTCAACTTTAAGATTCCCACTTGACTTTGATTTATTAGTTTCCAATTGATTTTATGGGAATCATATGGCTTAAAATCATATGCAGTCTTTCAAAATATTCGTCATTTCCAAAAAGGTTGAAGCCTACATAAGGCAGACTAGGAATGAATTAATCCTTAAATGTGAGTTATTCTCAGTGAGTGTGTCTACACGTTTATTAATGTGTAGTAATTACTGTGCATTTAGTTTAGTAGTTCCTTAATGAAGTTCTACCTAAAGGCACAGTAACTACAGTTACTGCACAGTATCTCCAGTCCAGGTTTTTTTTTTTTTTGTGATGGTTACTGTGCAGTAGCCTAATAACACTGCGCACTTTGCATTTTTGGTTTTTTGCATTCTTTGGTTTTTGACCAGCATGTTAATGCACAATGTTATCAGGCTACTGCGCAGTAAGCGTCTCTTGTAGACACACCCTCTGTTGCTCTTCCTCTATATACCCAGGATGGACAAGGGTGGAATAGCATTTCTAATTTTCCAGTTTGGGGTGCTTGCTCTGTTTCAGCAAGATCATGGCTTAAAGGCTCTATATCTTTTTTAAAGATGGGATATGTGTGAATGAATGCAAAGCTGGTTTCTATGGTGATTATGTTACTGGAGTATGTGAAGCATGTCACAAGACCTGTGCCACATGTGAATGGTTCAACTATGATGACTGCACCAGCTGCAAAAAGAATTTCTGGATATATCATGGGAGGTGCGTGAATCCAGATAACGAACCAACAGAGAGAAAACCCTGGAATGGTATGTTGATACATATCCTCTGATCTCTGTCGCTTCATCACTGTGTACCACTAAGATTAATGAAGAAGTTTGAAAAGGAGTCCCATTCTTCTGTTTCTAAAGTCCTATAACTTGAATAGAACTGATTAAGAGCATTTGATCCCAGGGTTAAAGTCCCCCCACCCCCCAGACAGAAACAATAGAGTTTTTATGCAACTTAAGTCCAGTTTAGGTCCTGGTTTTTTCAACCTTGTATTGGCCTTCTGCACCAGGATGAATGTCACCTGAAGAGAATTGGAGATGATGTTATAAACAGTTTGTAAGTAGTATAGTGGGGGAAAAAATTAGATATCATGATATAATGAACTGAACACAGGATTTGGAGCCGGAACTTGAGTTTTAGCCCTCCCTTTGTCCTTACTCTGTAACCTTAAGAGATTAATTAACAATAGTAAAATATTTCTAGAAGGTAAGGAAGGTGATATATCTAAACATTTTTAGTATTATTGAAGCAAATAATTATTTGTAGCACATCACTTATTTTATTATTTTGTCATTTTTTCCTGTTTAACAACTACGTGAAAACAGATCACAGTACTCTCCTTTTTTTTCAAAGTAAACAAGTTATTTACTAGTTTCTTCAGCAAATTTATTTTGGTCAGTAGACAATTAATGAAGACATCACTGTGAATATTAATAATTTGTATTCTGCGCTATGTTAGTAATATAAAATGCATGAGCCTGATCCATGCAATCAGAGAACAAAACAAATCAAGCAGTATTAATCATTATTTGGATTACTGAACATATTAAAAAATAAACTGGAGAGTTACAAACAGTCCAACTCAAAATTTACTTTAGAGTCAAACATTTATTTGGACCTAATAAGCAAAAAAAATAACAAAAAAAAACAACACACACCACAAGTAATAACACTTGAAAAGTTGGTCTGATATAAATTGTGTCATTTCACAAAGATAATGAAGTATTATTCCCTATTGTATCCATAAGAAGATTGTGTCACAGGTAAAAGACTGAGTCAAAGAAAGAATAAAAATTCAAGTTGCCCTCCTTCCAGGCAATCCAAACCATACCTTACATTTTCAAGTGCACAAGGCACTTGCCAACCAGTACTATCCTTGGCCTTTTCCTTTAAACTGTTTAAGGCATCTATCTGTAGAATTACTGCTTTAGTCATTATTGTGATGTAAATGTCCTTCTGGATCAACCTCTTTGGAACTGGGACCATCAAAATAGGGCTTATTTAGAGAGCTGTATTCTCAAGATATGGGTAAGATAAGTCCACTTTCTCATTTGTACTATTGTGCAGCCCTTAGTAATGGAGTCTGCTTCAATATCTAAATATTCCTTATATACCAAAGCACTCAGTATATCTGGATTGGGCATTTGCACTGAAGCTGTTCTTTTGCATACACTTGGTACTAAGCCAGGGGTGTCTGGATCTGGACAGCAGGGACTCCTCCTGAAGCAGCAGCAACTACAGTGGGTCCAGGACGGACAGCAGCTTGAAACCATGTTTAGGGGGCAGCACGGGTCCTGGAATGTGTAGCAGCATGTGTCTGGAGGCAGAAGCAATCATCCAGGGGTGTCATGGGCCTGCATTCTAGTGGTGGCACTAGTCCATGTGGCTGCCACTAATGACCATATTCATCAGGGTCCAGGGACCCCAAATTCTGTAGCAGGTTATGCCCCCTAACTTCTGGTACCCTGCTGGACTACCAGTGAACCTGGTGGCATGGTTTTATGAGCTGAATTATATTTGACACGTGTGCTCTAACCCAAAGATTCATCATTTAGCACTGAGGCTAATACTATGAAACTTCCATGCTGGTGTGAGCTTCCAAACCAGCAGTATTCGCCTTACCCACTTGAGTTGATACACGGTAGATGCAATCAAGATTTATGAGTGGTGCTACCCAAGAAAGTAAACTCAACAGTTCCCAAGGCTACTTCTTCTGAAGTGGTAGGGTTGTCTCAGGACACGTGAACTTATCACCAAGTCAAAAGCAAAAGTAAAGAAAGACCTATTTGTTCAACTGCTGTGATAAGACTACTAGTCTTTTGCTTCATTTTGGTTTTCAATGCATTTTAGGGGAGAGATATCTGCAAACTGCAGACCTCCAAGTATACTATCTATCCATAGAATTATGGTTTCCATGTCAGAGGTCTGTCACATAAAAGTCATTTGCTTTTCTTGTGAAAACCTCACATGACTGACTCCTATTGAGTTTGTGATCCTTCATTATCATCATTACAAGAATGGGTAAGATAAAAGAAAATCTGCTTGTTCTTGCTCTCAGTGATGCTCTTGCTCTCTGTGACAGTTTTTCATGCCAGGAAAGAACTACGAGTGGTACAGCTCCCCAGACAAAGAACTGTACCAGTCATAGTTTTTTCCTGACATGATCATCCATGGTGGACAGGTTGAAATGTAGTGGTCAAACAAAACCTAGCATCACCCTCCCCTTCCCAGTCTTGGGGCTAGGAGATCACAAAATATGAAGTAATGCTTTAACACAGTAAATAGAGATGAAGGTTGTGCAGTATATAGCTTAAGGTAAAAAGAGAAGAGCAGCACAGGGGACCTTTGCTGTGGCTGTTTACTAGTAGAAGCAAAATCAAACTCACTATTAGATCCTAAGATTCGTGGGGAGTGCCTACTTCTCTGGTATAATGAAATGAAATATATGGCTTCTGTGATGACCATGACACAGCCAGTAATCTGGCCAAAATTATTTGACCCACATCGTTTAGTTCAGTAATGACTATGACAGCTTTTACAAAGGCATCTTGCCTTTCTTCTATGACAATGCTGAAGTGAGAGAGGCAGGGTGTTGCTAGACTTTACATTTTATTCACAAATAATGAGGCCATTGTCTTCAGCCCTCTGGAACCAATTTGAGTATATGGATATGGGCAGTGTAATTTAAAACCCTACCAACCAGTTTAATAACTAAATTGATCAATCAGATTGGATATGATGGTTCACAACCAACCCTTGTAAGTCTTATGAAGTGAGACTTGTTCCAGTTTGCCTCCTGGATAATAAATTAAGCACAGCATGCTACAAGATGAATCAATGCAGAGACTGAATTTCTTTTGGGAGACTGATGCATCTTGGTGAAGATGAAAATCTCTTTCTGGGTGCAGAGGACACATTTTTTCTAACTTCCACTTCTTGCATAAGGATAAATGAAAGACCAGTCTCATGAATTTTCATGAGCCCACATACCAATCCAGACATTCTATAGAGAATAACTCTCTAAAATAATACCAATTTTGTGAGTATTCTGGTGGGCAAAATATTCCATTCCAAACTGGGAATCATTAATAAGTAATATCATGGCATGAAATAAAGAAACAGATATTGTCTGGCATCTGGACATTTAAAAGGACAAGCCAAGAAAAAAAAAAAAGGTTGAGCTCTGTGTTTGTAGCTTGAAACATCTGTATTTTATCTGGTGTACCAGATGATGAAATGATTTTGGGAGCCAGGAGACATACTAGTGTAGGCTTGATTCACCAAGTGATTACACATACCCTTTCAACGGGACTAGACATTTTGTAAGCTGCAATCAGGTCTTCATTTTGTCAGTTCACTATAAATACCACACCCCAAGCTTGTGTGTTGCACAGTTACACAGCATAGCCTAATGCATTCTTTTGTGAGGTGCAAAGGAAACAATGGGTGTAGGCTTAGATCTGTGTCTATGAAACATCCAAGAGGGAATAGTTACTTTCAATTTACTCTCAAAAAAGGCCCCCAAACAACACTGTAATTAACTATGCAAAAGTAAGCACATATCTAGTACACCTCATATATATTACAACACATAATAGAAATAGCATCCATTGGCTGTCATTGGATACCCTTATGAGAAGTCATGAACCAACTGCATCAATCTTCACACTTTTTCCTTAACACTACAGTAAATTACATCAATTAAAAGTGTAACATCCTCAGAGAGGGTTGGTTGAAAGAAAAAAAAATATTCAGAAACTGAAGATTTAGAGGAAGTAGGGGCCAAATGCATAATTCATCATAGAGGCTATGTATTTTGGGGTGTATGGGAAAGCTGAGGAGAAGACCAGGAAAAGATATTAAATGGATAGACAAGAGAGAGATGGGGGAATATGGATAGGGGACAACTCTAGATGAAAAATTATTATGGACATTTAGAAAGGAAGATGTAGCAGCATAAAAGATATTAAGAAATCTTTTTAAACAACATTCATATATGAATTTTAAGGTTGTAAGAGGCAAGCAAAACTTATTTACTAACCCATATAATCTTTGTCAACCCTCTTGGAGTTGCATGGAGATTTTATATTCTAGGCATTTGTTTGTAAACTAAAGTTATGGTTATTACAAAATAACTAGACTGGAAATTAATGGTTATTGGGGGGCTGTGATTTACCTCTCACCAATCCTACAGTACCTTTAAATTTATAATTCTCATAAGTCTTTGAGAGAGATAGGATAGGTTCTAGTATTTTATTACATATGGATATTGTTTTCATTACATTTTATTATGTCTTTGTAATTGTAATCATCTTTTAGAGATATGTGGTTTGTTTATACATTTTTATTCATGGCAGTATCATTTTTGCAAGGCCAGTACCAGAAGCAGAATAAAATCTAACACACTAAATAGCATCCCCACTGGAAATAACTGGATCATATTCAAATCACATCTTTACTATACAATGCATAAACCAAACAGGTCACCTTCTAAACTGGAATGTGTGCGTGGCTACAACAGCCCTACTAGTGCAGTTTGTTTTAGACTCCTCACTGCAACAATGTACCATGTTTCGTGGTTAGGCCTGTAAAAAACATTGACATAGAAACACAGATCCTTTAGTAGAAGCTGGCATATTTTTAATTAAAATCAGAGGAGCAAGTACAAATGTGGGTGCTAATTTGATATGAAGATCAAAATTTAATCATTTTAATCTCCCTCATTTACCTGAATACTGTCAGACCATGTGGTCCCTAA